TCTTCCACTCACCAGTAGACCAATGTGGTCACCAGCAAGCTTACATGCCTGCTCATGTGTTCCCTTTGAGTTTCAGTTTTAGAGGGGGGTTTGTCCTGAAGGGATTTGATTGCTTGCCTTAGACCAATATTTTATCTAAGTTATTCTAAAGACTATTCCTATATAACTTTTGGAAAACTTTTCAGTTAACCTTTTCTGATAAGCACCATGCTTACAGAGTACACTAGAATAGCTGGGATCACTACTCTAGACTTTCCTACACAGAAAAAGATAATTTCAATAGATCTACTGAACTTAACCCAAACCCAACCTATAAGGAAAATAAATTACCAATAACTACACTCACAATTTTCTTTTAAATGAATATGGAAATGTAGATATTTAATTAAAATATCCCTCAGTCCATGATCATATTCATAGAAAAGAGTGTCATTTTAGTAAAATTTGCTTAGAATTTCCTGTTAGCTTTCTCAGGAAACAAAACTAAACTGCAAACACAGAAAGCTATCTGAAGGTTATCATGATTCATTCTGCTCTACTATAACTGCATTATGAGATCTTACAAAAATTAATTTACTAAAAATAAGTTCCAGGCATTTTCACCTTTCAATTCCCATTAGGAAAATAATAAACAGAAATCCCAATTCTTGTGCTTAGAAACAAACAGGTACCAGTTTTAAGGGATAAAGTCGTATTGATGTTTACCTGCATTGATGCCCCTTCCACTCTTGCCACACAAGCCACCCTGTCCAGGAAAGTCACTGCAACAGGCACAGCCACAAAGAAGCCTTTGCAAAAGGCCCTGAAGTACCGTCTTGTCCAGCCTTGAGACTGCGCCATATCTAAAAGCACAAAGAAATCAAGGATGAAATGAGCCTCAAGACAGGTGAAAAAGAAACACAAAAACACAAAAAATAAAAATAAGGGACGGAGAACAGCAACTTCTTCTCTTATTTATGTGACCATTAAAATATATTTGACTTAAAAGTACCAAAAGCAAAAACATTAACTCAAGTGAATTTTGATTAGCATCTCAAGTGCATTTGACAGCTTCAATGAAATATCCTTCCCAATGATAAATTAGGAAATAACCATTTCAAAAGTAATTTTTCCCTGTTGCTGATTGCCTGTCATGGCGGATATACTACTCTGATCCCTGAAATTAGTTCTCTTCTATACTAGTGGAAGTTTTTGTTGTACATGACTGCCTAGCTAAAGCATGTATTTTCTGGCCTCCCTTACAGTTAGCTATGATCATGTGACTAGGTTATGAGTAATGGCATATAAGCAGAAATCATGTACATTAACTTCCAGCGATGCACTTCAAAGAGTTCTGGTGTGCCGCTGTGGGTTAATGTGCTGGACAGCAAAGCCGGTTTGAACTGCAAGGTTGGTGGTTCAAGCTCACCAACCACTCCTCAGAAACCCTATACAGGGTCGCTATTGGTCAGAACCAACTTGACAGCACTTACCAACAACAACAACATGCCCTTAAAAGAGTCCTGTTCTTTCTGTTTCCCTTCTTATGGTAATCGATAATAGATGTGGTGGTGGGGACAAGAGCAGTCAAAGCGGTATCCTAACACAACAATGAATCTATGTGAGACGAGGAAAAAATTCACTACAAATAAATTTAATAAATATATTTACCAGCTCTCAGTACTGTGGAAATTTGATTAATATTCTAAATTTCTAAGGACCAGAGGATTTTTTTACTGTCTTACGAATCGGGCTGCGAACCTTAAGGCCAGCAGTTCGAAACTACAAGGCACGCCGCGGGAGAAAGATAAGGCTTTCTGCTCCCGTAAAGATTTACAGCCTCGAAAACCCTGTACAGGGTCGCTATGGGTCGGATCCGACTCGACGGCACTTAACAACAACAACAACAACAATGTATTAACAACAATATAGTGAGAGATCAAGATGGGCCATTTTACTGACTCAAAATGGAGTCAAACACAGTCTAACAGAACACTTCTCCTGGCTGGGGAAGATAAATGGATCCGTTTGGTGGCTCTCTTACTTAGACAAATTCCATGGAAAGGAATGGGTGAGAGCACAGAGGCATAAAGAAAGGTCCCTTGACTGGTCCTCCCCCTCAGAGTGTGAGACTACATCAGAGAAACTAAGTTTCAGAACACAGTCATGCTGCTGTTGTCATTGTTAAGTGTCAAGTCCGCTCTGACTCATAATGATCCTGTATAAGTATCCTGGGAAAATTCGTGGGTTTAAACCGCTGACCTTCTGGTTAGCAGTCCAGTGTTTATCCTACAGTTCCATACCAGTATTCCATCATGATGTCAGTTCAGCCTAAACCCACATATCAGGTGACTTCCAGACTTTCTTTCCTCTTGAGAGAAGGTCCAAAGTAACCCAGTAGTAAAATTCTGACTGAGTATTTGCCAGAAAGGCATGCACCTGGCCATTTGTTTGGCTTTTCTTTTTTTCATTTTCCAAATGTCACACTACCAACAGAAATATTATTGTAACAATATATATGTAACAAAATATATTGTAACAATATTAATGTCACAGAAACAATAAGAAGCAATAGATAGATGAGACCATGGAAAGAAAGAAATTAAGAAATAAATTCATGAGGAAAAAAGAGAGTGAGTGAAGGGGGTAAAATATAAATGAATATTTAAAAAAAAGCAAAAAAAAAAAAAACCTTCAATAAATTCTAACCACTCAGTTCTAACGCTTTCATCCGGTGAACTATAAAATGTAAACAAGAAATGAGAGAAAATAAGAACATGTGAACAGGAAATGTTACAGAAGTCTCTGAGTGGCCTAAAGAGTAAACAGTCAGCTTCTAGCCAAACCGTTAGTGGTTGGAAACCACCCTGAAGTGTGTTGAAAGACAGGTCTGGTAATGTGCATCTGAAAGGTCACAGCTATGAAAACCTTATGAAGCAGGTGTACTGTACACACATAGGGTCACCATAAGTCCAATAATGAATCTCTCTCAATAATTAAAAAGGAGATAGAGAGAGGGTATTATTATTTACATGACAGATGGATTGTCGTAGTTACAGAATCACATGCAAATAATTTCATCCAACACATTCTACATCTCATTCTGTTTTAAAGGGATTTTTCCTTGTAAAGACATATACAAGAGCAGGTAGCCTAGGGAAGAGGCAATCAAGGTGGTATCATCTGACAGAGCTATCAATCTACAACAATGGCTTTGAAACCTTTTGACCACCTCCCACATAAAGAAGCATATTTTATTTAGGAACCCAATACACATACCCACACATATGTAAACCTACATACATTTGCAGCAAATAAGAAGTCCTTGAAGCTTCACAAAACAATTTGTATCATTACTATGCAAGAAGCAATAATTTTATTCTACTCTATTTCATATTTTTAAATGCTAACTGCAAATCACGAAATTGATTTTTATGACCCATTAAAGGTTTCTGAACTGCAGTCTGATCTTAACTATTCTAAAATTATCCCAATCATTAATTATCTTTTAAATCTTTTAAATGTCATGGGAAAAAGATGAATAATAACAACCTAAATTGGTTAATTTTCAATGACCTACTGTAGTTGACACCAGTGAGGGTTATGCGCTTGCATGGATAGAATAACAATCAATAATCATTTACATATATATATATATTTCACAAACATAAAATTCATCCTAGATCAGTAATCTTTTATACCTAAGTAATAGAAAACAACCAACTTAAAAACATGTTTTCATCTGAACTTGATGTTGTTGTTGTTAGGTGCCGTAGAGTTGATACCAATTCATAGGGACCCTATGCATAACAAAATGAAACACTGCCTGATCCTGTGCCATCCTCACAATTGCTGTTACATTTATTTACGCCCATTACTGTGCCAATCCATCTCATTGGGGACCTTCCTCTCCTTCACTGGCCCTCCACTTTACTGAGCATAATGTCCTTCTCCAAGGACTGCTCCCTTCTGATAACATGCTGAGATTATAAGAGACAAAATCTTGTTATCCTAGCCTCTACCAATTATTCTGGCTGTACGTCTTCCAACACAGATTTGCTTGTTCTTCTGGCAGTCCATGGTACTTTTAATACTCTACTCCAACATCATAATTCAAATGCATCAATTTTTCTATGGTCTGCCTTTTTCACTGTCCAACTTTCACATGCATAGGAAGTAACTGATATCTATAGTCCTTAAACTGATGTCTTTTCATTGAAACTATTCCACCATTTATAATCTAAAACTAAAGCATTTATTAGCTCATACATCTGGTGTCCACGAAGTGTGTTTAGCTCAGGAGCGTAAACACTTCTGTGAGCAGCTTCAGTCACTGCTCTCCTGAAATCAGCAAACTTGCTTTACGTATTTAATCCCAACGCTGCACAAACCCAGTTTTACGTATTTCCTCCCAATGCTACGCATACCCAGCTTTAACATGAGCCCTTTAGAAAACCTATTCCTCATCAATGACATCTTTCATCTAGAATCTAAAACACCTTTACTTTACTAATCACTTTAATATCCTCTCCACAAGAGATTTAATACTTTTTCAATGGACTGTTTCACTAAGGTCTCATTTGTCATCTTCCACATGACTTGGTGAATAAGTTTGTCATATTTATCAGAACACTACTTTGAAGAAGGAAAAGACGCATTTTCCTCAACGATAGATTTCATTAGCTCAGTCTCTCTGAAAACACTTCTAACTACAGGTTTCACAAGTTGAACGTCTGTCTTACAGTAAATTTTAGAAGTTCAATAACTTCCAAATGTTTCCTCTTTAATGCTTCCCCAAATACAATTCCAAAGGTGCCAGACTGTGAAATATCTAAATCTAAAAATAATTTATGGATTTAAGTGCTTCCATGTACACAGAAAACAAACAAATCTCGTTTCTATGTGGAAGAGAAGGAGACAAGGCTAAAGCATATAACTAGCTCTTCATTTACCAAGCTGATAGTTACAAGCTTATTGAAGTGGCTCACATTTTAGATGAAGTTGAATACAGCTCTTAGGTACTAAACTTCAGGGCATTGTTTTGTACTTGTACTTGCTTTGACTAAAGTGCTGAAAAATGTTGATTTCCCACCACCACTTATACCTCCAAAATCAAACACCCAGGTAATCCCCCTAATCAGACAAGTTTAGAAAATACTGGTATTTATGTGTTTAAAAGTCAGATGTTTACTGGCTCTCTCAGGCTTTTTACCTTCTTCAAAAGAGAACACAAGAAAAAGCTAGAAAAGAACTATCAATCTGGAATGCCTTCTCACACACACATGTAGTCTTGCCTCCTCAGTAGATTAAGAAAGTATATAAAGAACAAACTTTGTGCTGAAAATAAACACCACTTCTAAATCATGCTTTCTAACATCTGCCTGGTTCCATCAGAGAGTGGTGTCCACGGACTCTGCCCCTGTTGGGGCCTTCAATCATCCAGTCATACACCTAGCTACTCAGTCACTCCTATCACTAATGCACTGGGATGCAGAGCACAGTGGGCAAATCTGCTCCAGCCCCTGCTCTCATTGGGTCTTACAATTCACTATGATCAGCAGGATTCCTGGTGTGGTGCTTTAGGTTAAACACTGGGCCACTAATCTCAAGGTCAGCGTTTCAAACTCACCAGGCACTCATTGGATCACAACTGATGAACGGCACTTAACAAGGGTCAATCAGACAATCTCGTGGCAAGAAAAAATACAGAGGAAAGAAAACAGCCAAAAGTAAGGACGGGGGGAAATATAATGGGTTTAGGCACAAAATAAATCTTAATCTGGCAAAGACAACAATAAAAGGTCAACACTGGCAACACTGAAGGTGACAGCATTCTCCATCTTGACCCCAAAACAGTTCATTT